ATGGATTACATGGCGGGATTTTCCTGTTTTCACATTTTGGGCTATATCCCTTTTTTTTTTTTTGTTGTAATTCCACTCATTCCCAGAAACTAAACCAGGTCTAAACTAGAACCTGGTCTAAACCAGGTCTAAACCAGGACTAAAACAGGACTAAAACAGGACTTAAAGCAGGTCTAAATTAGATCTAAACTAGAAAAACTAAAACCAGGACTAAATCCACATCTAAACCAGGTCTTAAACAGGACTTAAAACAGGTCTAAACAGGATCTAAACTCTAAACCAGGACTAACCAGTCTAAAACCAGGACTAAAACTTAAACAGGTCTAAATTAGATCTTAAACCAGGGTCTAAACCACTAAAACCAGGACTAAAACAGGACTAAAACAGGACTTAAAGCAGGTCTAAATTAGATCTAATCTAAACCAGGACTAAAACCAGGACTAAAACCAGGTCTAAAACCAGGACTAAAACAGGACTAAAACAGGACTTAAAGCAGGTCTAAATTAGATCTAAACTAGATCTAAACCAGGACTAAAACAGGACTTAAAGCAGGTCTAAATTAGATCTAAACTAGATCTAAACCAGGACTAAAACCAGGACTAAATCCACATCTAAACCAGGTCTAAACCAGGACTAAAACAGGACTTAAAGCAGGTCTAAATTAGATCTAAACTAGGTCTAAACCAGGTCTAAAACCAGGACTAAACCAGGTCTAAAACCAGGACTAAAACAGGACTTAAAGCAGGTCTAAATTAGATCTAAACTAGATCTAAACCAGGACTAAAACCAGGACTAAATCCACATCTAAACCAGGTCTAAAACCAGGACTAAAACAGGACTAAAAGCAGGTCTAAACTAGATCTAAACTAGATCTAAACCAGGTCTAAAACCAGGACTAAAACCAGATCTAACCAGGTCTAAAACAGGACTAAAACAGGACTTAAAGCAGGTCTAAAAGATCTAAACTAGATCTAAACCAGGTCTAAACCAGGTCTAAACCAGGTCTAAACCGGTCTAAAACCATGACTAAACCATGACTAAACCAGGACTAAACCAGGACTAAACCAGGACTAAAACAGGATTTAAAAGGACTAAACCATGCCGTGTGGACCGTGTCTCCTCGTCTTCTATCAATAATATGTTTAATACGGTTAAGGAAAGTCTGGGCTTTTTATTTTCTTTTAGCAGATAAAACATCTTATGTTACACTTCTCTACAGCAAATCAAGTAATCCAAAGTATTCAGATTACGTTACTCACTTTAAGTAATTTAATGGATTATGTTACAAACTACATTTTGGTGTGTGTAATCTGTAATCTGTAGGGGATTACATTTTAAAAGTAACACTCCCAACACTGTCTAGGAATGATTAATAGTGTCGTGTTTATTACTCACTGCATAAAAAATATTTTAAAAATGTATTAGTAGTACAAAAGTCCATTCAATATTCTTTCTTGTTGAAAATCAAACACTAAAACTCAACGCTGGTGTTGATCAAACTCCTCAAAATGTGTTTAAATCCATTTTGTATTTTTTTCTTGAGTTTTCCAACCATCTTAAAACTTTTCTGACAGCGTTTGCTAATGTGTAACTCAATCTGAATCTGAAGACTTTAATCAAATCTTTAATTCAACTCAATCTGACCTGAAAGAACTGCAACAGACGAGCTGATTTGTGCTGTTAAACAAGTCTCGAACTTTAAATCACCGTCAAAATCAAACTCTAACGCCGAACGCTCGTGTTGATCAAACTCCTCAAAACGTGTTTAAATCCATGTTGTACTTTTTCTTGAGTTTTCCGACTCTTAAAACTTATTTGCCAACGTTTGCTAATGTGTAACTCGCCCACATTCCATCATAGACATGCATGTAGAACACCTCCTGCATGATGTCACTGTAAATTAGTGTTGGCAGAGTCTTCAGCAGCAGATAGTTGTGGTAAAGAGTTGATTAGTTAAACCGCAACTGTTGTCAGACCATATGCAAATATATAATTACATAATGACCCAGTTTATTTTGTTTGTTCAAACCTGCGCTCTTTCATTGACATCGGTAATTATTAGGCGCCATGGGTGGCGTAGGGCCTATTGTTACTGTTCAGCAGTGTGAAGTGCTCTCCCCTTTCCAAACACACACTCACACTCACATGTCAGTGACATGTGCCCGCTGACATGGCACGGTGGCATTGCCCATGGGCCACGTCAGCGGCATAATTGTAATCGTTCACCCCAAAACGTAGGGCGCACTTGACATCGTGCATGAGGTTAGAAATAATGATTTGTGTTAGAAATTATTATTTTTTTCCTTCAAACTTTGCTTTTGTCAAAGAATCCTCAATTTGCAGCAATTACAGCATCGCAGACCTTTGGCATTCGAGCTGTTAATTTGTTGAGGTAATCAGGAGAAATTTCACGCTTCAAGAATCTCCTCCCACAAGTTGGATTGACTGGATGGACACTTCTTGCGTCCGTACGGTCAAGATGCCCACTTCTCTTTCTACTCTGCTCAGAGCTTTTTGTGCTGTTCTCTGAAGGGAGTAGTGCACACAGCTGTAGGAAATCTTCAGTTTCTTGGCAGTTTCTCAAATGGAATAGCCTTCATTTCTAACAAGAACAGACTGTGGAGTTTCACATGAAAGTTTTCTTTTTCTGGCCATTTTGAGCGTTTAACTGACCCCACAAATGTGATGCTCCAGATACTCAACCTGCTCAAAGAAAGGTCAGTTTTATAGCTTCTCTAACCAGATAAACTGTTTTCACCTGTTCTAACATGATGCACAAGGGTTTTCTAATCATCCTTTAGCCTTCTGACGCCATGAGCAAACACATTGTACCATTAAAACACTGGAGTGACAGTTGTTTGAAATGGGCCTCTGTACACCTGTGTAGATACTGCATCAAAAAACATTTGCAGCTAGAATAATCATTTACCACATTAGCAATGCATAGAGTGTATTTCTGATTAGTTTAAAGAAAACAGTGCTTTTCTTTCAAAAAATAAGGACATTTCTAAGTTCTAACTTTTGAACGGTAGTGTATATTTTTCTTTTTACTGTTTATCTTCCATTACAAGATTATATTAATAGAAAGACATTTGTACAATTTAATTCACACTGAAGGACAGAGACGTAGATATTTGATGTAAAAATCATATGGATGTGTTCTAGAGGAGTCCCAGAATGCACTGAATGTTGTATTTTACACTTAATCTCTTCAAGTACAGTGTTATAATGTGTAACTTCTTGTCATTAGGCCTGTCACAGTTACACATTTTGACTATATTACTACAGAGATATTCTGCCATAAACGATAATACTTCAACTGTTTTATGCTTTTGACACACATAAAGCAAGATGATCCTTGAAAAACATTTTAAAATAGACAGTGTTTGTTTGGGACTGTGTGTGAGTTTGTGTGTGTGCAAATTAAAATTAGTTGGAAAATATAGAAAAAATCTATTTATTTATTCATTTTATTGTTTTTTCATGCACATCATTTGAGATTTTCACAAACAAAACCAGTATTTAATGTGTTAAAATGTCAAAATATTATATAATATTTGGTATGTATGATTAGAGCAGAAGTAAATGAAGACATTGATTTTAAAAAATGGACAAAAAAATCTGTACTGCATAAAAATATTGCGTTTTTTTTTTCAATGTACATTTTTGTCACGAAGGACCACAGCTGTAACTATTTTTAAAGGACACGAAGGTTAAAAACAGCGTTGGGGAGTAACAGATTACACATACCAGGACTAAAACCAGGTCTAAACTAGATCTAAACCAGGTCTTAACCAGGACTAAAACCAGGTCTAAACTAGATCTAAACCAGGATCAAACCAGGACTAAAACAGGTCTAAACCAGGATTAAACCAGGACTAAAACAGGACTAAACCACGACTAAAACAAGACTAAAACAGGACTAAAACAGGACTAAACCAGGACTAAAAAAGGTCTAAACTAGGACTAAAACAGGTCTAAACCAGCACTAAAACAGGTCTAAATCAGGACTAAAACAGGACTAAACCAGGACTAAACCAGGTCTAAAACAGGTCTAAACTAGGACTAAACCAGGACTAAACTAGGACTAAACCAGGACTAAAACAGGACTAAACCAGGACTAAAACAGGACTAAACCAGGACTAAAACAGGACTAAACCAGGACTAAACCAGAACTGAACCAGGACTAAACCAGGACTAATACAGGACTAAACCAGGACTAAAACAGGTCTAAACTAGGACTAAAACAGGTCTAAACCAGGACTAAAACAGGTCTAAACCAGGACTAAAACAGGACTAAACTAGGACTAAACCAGGTCTAAAACAGGTCTAAACTAGGACTAAACCAGGACTAAACCAGGACTAAAACAGGACTAAAGCAGGACTAAAGCAGGACTAAACCAGGACTAAACCAGGACTAAAACAGGTCTAAACCAGGACTAAAACAGGACTAAACCAGGACTAAACTGGGACTAAAACAGGACTAAACCAGGACTAAAACAGGTCTAAACCAGGTCTAAACCAGGACTAAACCAGGACTAAACCAGGACTAAACCAGGACTAAACCATGCTGCGTGGACGTGTCTCCTCCTCTTCCATCAATAATATTCTTTATACAGTTCAATAAAGTCTGGGCTTTTAATTTTCTTTTAGCAGACAAAACATCTTATGTTATGATATCCTGGTCTTTGCTTCTCTACAGCAAATCAAGTAATAAAGTAAAGTATTCAGATTACATTACTCACCTAAAGTAATTTAATGGATTACGTTACAAACTACAATTTGGGGTATGTAATCTGTAATCTGTAGGGGAATACGTTTTAAAAGTCACCTTCACAACACTGTTAATTATCACAGTTCTGTCCGGGGCTCTTTTCCCGTCATAACCCGCGTGCGCGTCACTTCCGCACTGGGGGTGTACTGCCGCGGCTGGTGCCCGGACTGAACACTCCCCCCTCTCCCTCGGGCTCTGGCTCCTCCTCCACCCGCCCCCACGGACCGCCCTCCCCGCTACACTGTGCCCCAGGAACCGCTCAGATCACCGTGTCCCCGTCTCCCTCCTCACCGCCGTGCCTTTCAAAACCAGCTCCGAACCGGCTCCGAACCAGCACCCCAGCCTCCCTCCTCCGGCTCCCTCCGCGCCCGGGGACCGTTTACGCCGAGACTGTCCGTTACTCTCCGAACATTCCCCCCCGCCCCGTGTGGACAGTTTGACCGGGGGAGCGCGGCTGAAGGCACCAGGAAGCTAAACCGTGCTAAAGCTGCTATAGGTCCTTATCTGCCCGGAGCGTCACATCAGCGCGGAGCTCAACGGGGGGGGGAGAGTTTTTTCGGAGCCGCTCTTCCGCCGGCGTTGAACCGTCCAGGGCCCCGGGGGCACTGAGATGACGCCGGGCCGGAGGAGATAGCGGTTCTTTCTTTGGGGCTCTTCGGGGGCTCACAAACTCTCACAAACTCTCACATCCTAAACATCTGTTTCCTGTCACTTGGACCAAAATGGCTGCGGAAGGGTCTGTCAACTTTCAGTGGCTCAACCGAACTTGTAAACTCGTGGTGTTACTGTGTCTCCTGCACATATCGGTGACTATATTTTTCTACGTCAGCTCTTTCGATTTACGCTTCGCTTTTGTCCGAAACCAGCAACACAACCCGCGATTTTTCACGACGAACAACAACAACAACAACCGCTCGAACCTCGTCCCCCCGGAGACCGCTAAGCCGGGCGCAGCGGAGCCAGGAAACCCGGGGACTGCACGGACCGACCCGGGCACGGAGACGCAGACGGCGGCGGCGGCGGCGGTGAAAGAGCCGAAGCAGAGCGCCCCGGAGCCGGTCAAGAAGCTGGACAAGTGTCCGGACACATCGCCGCTGTTGGGTGAGTGACGGTCCGCCGCTGCATCACGTGGAAATACTTTTAATAATCCGTGACGTGATGAGGACAAACCAGGACCAAAAAAAAAAACTTCAAACTTTTGTACTTAAAGCTGCACTGTGTAACTTTTCTGGTTGCTTGTTTCTATCCATATGTTATGTTCATATGTTGACATTAAACACCTTTAACTTACATTTATCCGATTATAGACGGTTTTATAGCTCAGAAATACCTAGAAAAAACGACATTATGACATAGAAAACATAGAAAGGTTTAATGCCGTACTGTGAAACATTTCAGACAAACCGATAACATCTCCCGGACGAAAAGCATTTGACCGACTTAAGGCTGTGCAATCGCGATTTCGATTTGTGTGTCAAATAGAGCTGAGTATCATTAAGAAGTTGCCGATACGATACATACCTCGATACATAGGCCTCAATTCGATACATACCTCGATATGTAGGCCACGATTCGATACATACCTCGATACATAGGCCACGATACGATACATACTTCGGTACGTAGGCCACGATTCGATACATACCTCGATACATAGGCCACGATTTGATACATATCTCGATACATAGGCCAGGATATGATACATACCTCGATACATAGGCCACGATATGATACATACCTTGATACATAGGCCACGATTTGATACATATCTCGATACATAGGCCAGGATATGATACATATCTCGATACATAGGCCACGATACGATACATGCCTCGGTACGTAGGCCACGATTTGATACATACCTCGATACATAGGCCACGGTACGATACATACCTTGATACATAGACCACGATTCGATACATACCTCGATACATAGACCACGGTACGATACATACCTCGATACATAGGCCACGATTTGATACATACCTCGATACGTAGGTCACGATACGATACATACTTCGATACGTAGGCCACATTTCGATACATTCCTCGATACACAGGCCAATAAATTTAATATAAAAACGTTAACAATAAATTAATATTGAAAATTCTCCCGACGATCGATTAAGAAAATTTTATTGAATTCCCATCCCTAGTTCATATGAAACACAAACATTTTAATTCTCAAAACAGTGAAAATGTCAAATGTGTCGCAAAACTCCTAATCTGGGCCAAAAAAAACTAAACTAGTAGAGCAATGTCCAAGTCCAGGCCAGTCCAGAGTTCAGAACTAAACCAGGACTTTACTCAGAATAACTCTTAACTTATCTTGGCAAGTATTGAACTATTCTTCAGCCTACACATCAATAATCTGTTTTAATCTCGTTCTCAAAGACGTTTTTTAAGCAATATTCAATTTTAGCCACGAAACAGGGAAGAAACTGGACTGAACCTGGACTAAACCTGGTCTTATATTAGACTAAACTGACTCTTGTGAGATTTTAGCCACGTTATAATTAGGGCTGTGCAAAAATGTCAAAATATCGGTATATTGTATCATTTAATGTGATGATACAGTATCGATATTGTGGTCTGCTGTATCGATATATCGCCAAGAGTATTTTTTTTTGTTTATTTTACTCAGTTATTTTGTTACAGAGCGACAGTTTTGTTGCTCGTTTAGTGGAAAGAAACTTGTTCTTGACTCAACACATTTGACATTTTCACTGTTTTGTAGCGGCGTAACGATATCCAAGTCTCATGACACGATATCGTCACGGCATGAACCTCACGATACGATATTTATTGCGATATCGTGGGAAAGCTCACGATACAGTGGGGAGGCTCACGATTAGAGATGTAACAATATCCAAATCTCTCCGTACGATATTTTCACGACATACGTCTTTCTCGCTCACTCCAAACTTACTTTCTGCTGCTTGATTACAGTTTTCGGCTGAATTTTTCACTATTTGCAGCGAGACAGCGGCTTTTTCTACAGAAGACATGGGTCCAGTCAAGCAGTAACGGAGGGAAACGGGCAGATTTTTTACATTGAAATAGCTCTTATTCAGAAACTAGAGGGACTATTGAAATAAGTAAAGTATCAGAATGTAGGAAAGAGTTACACTCCAACAGGGTAAAGTTAAACCTGTGATATTCTTTCAAGTTGTTGACAAAAAATTAAAAAACTCATGTCGGTAACGGAGGGAATGAAATATGCAGCACTTTTTGGCCAATAAATACAAACAGTGATAACTCTTGGTTCTCACTTACATATCCTTAACAAACTGGTTTGAATATTTGCTTCATATAGTTTTCTACCATATGGTACAAGATTAGGTTGAAAAACGAGATTTTTTATTAAGAAAGGTCATGGTAACGGAGGGGAAAGTAACAGAGGGAAAATTGTACAAGCAAGTAGAAGGTGCATGATTTTACATCATTTGTCAACTTTTTTCTTCCAAATACTTTAATATTTCTTCAAAATGAAAGGAAACTATTTCTATAAAATATGTCAGTCCTTCCAAGCAAATTTTTATCATTTTAAATACTTTTTTTTTTTTTTAAATCCTGTACCTTCATCAACAATTCAAAGATGGAATAACACAAGATATGATGAAATACATCCATTTATTTACATGATTTGCAGATCTTTGAAATTTGGGAAATAATTTTTGTTCCATGTTTCATACATGGTCTGTTTAAAACATATGTGAACTTTAGAACCAAAAATGGTACAGAAAAAAGGTCAACAGTTTCATAAACTAGAGTACATATGTATCTGTTCAATACATTTTTATATCAGATGCATTAACTTGAATTTTTGGCCTTGTTGTTTACTTCTGCTTGACCGGACCTACATGCGCAGTAGAGTGAAGTGACAGTGGTACAGGAGTAATAGTAGAACTAGATACTGACACACAAGACTAGAGCCTCTCGCGACTGTCAGTGCGAACATTTTATAATATAACTCACACCAGAGTGTAAGTCGCAGGAAACGAGCAAAAAAGCATGATATTTCAAGTTTTATAGTAGCACTTGTAATTGAGTAGATATTTTGCTATGTAACTGAACTTACATAAACTCCATCCACAAACACATTTGAGATAGAGCTGATAAACTGATTGGTACCTGGAGAACTAAAGATGTGAGTGAAAGGAGAGAGGGGCGGGGCTAGGGGGTATGAAGAACAGTGTGATTGGTCCGACAGGTGTCCACAAAACAAACTCCCCCCCCATAGCCAGGGATTTGTAAACAGAAACAACTGGCTGTAATCAGGGCAGTCCTGCGTGATGTCACATAGTACTTGATACCACAGAGGCCACTGGAGTTCACACACACTCATTTTTTACACATTTTTGTCCAGATTATTTTGCAGATTTACCTCCTTTCTTCTAAAAATGACCAAAACAACCACTAGAAACAGTAAATCATATTATTAAAGATGCACTGCGTAACTTTTTGTTCTATGGCGATGTCATTGCTCTGCCCAGAATGTTCCACAGTGTGACATTATACAGATCTATCTAAAGTGTTGGGAAGATAACTTTTAAAATGTATTCCCCTACAGATTACAGATTACATCCCCAAAATGTAGTTTGTAACGTAATCCATTAAATTACTTAAAGTGAGTAACGTAATCTGAATACTTTGGATTACTTGATATTGTCATGTTTTTTAAAACTACATGAATGTACCAACCACATCCTGAAAATTCATGTTTGTTCTCTTCAAATTGGCCCTGGTTTAGTCCTGGTTTTAGTCCTGGTTTTTAGTCTTGGTTTTAGTCCTGGTTTTAGTCCTAGGTCTAGAACTAGGTCTAAACCAGATCTAAACCAGGTCTAAACCAGGTCTAAATCTGATCTAAACCAGGTCTAAACCAGGTCTAAATCAGATCTAAACCAGGTCTAAACCAGGTCTAAATCAGATCTGAACTAGGTCTAAACCATGTCTAAACCAGGTCTAAACCAGGACAAAACCAAGTCTAAAGTGGGCCTAAACCAGGTCTAAATCAGATCTGAACTAGGTCTAAACCAGGTCTAAACCAGGTCTAAACCAGGTCTAAACCAGGTCTAAACCAGGTCTAAACCAGGTCTAAATCAGATCTGAACCAGGTCTAAACCAGGTCTAAACCAGGTCTAAACCAGGTCTAAATCTGATCTAAACCAGGTCTAAATCTGATCTAAACCAGGTCTAAACCAGGTCTAAACCAGGTCTAAATCAGATCTAAACCAGATCTAAACCAGGTCTAAACCAGGTCTAAACCAGGTCTAAATCTGATCTAAACCAGGTCTAAATCAGATCTAAACCAGGTCTAAACCAGGTCTAAATCAGATCTGAACTAGGTCTAAACCAGGTCTAAACCAGGACAAAACCAAGTCTAAAGTGGGCCTAAACCAGGTCTAAATCAGATCTGAACTAGGTCTAAACCAGGACTAAACCAGATCTAAACCAGGTCTAAACCAGGATGAAACCAAGTCTAAAGCGGGACTAAACCAGGTCTAAACCAGGTCTAAACCAGGTCTAAACCAGGTCTAACAATGAGAATAAAAGCAGTAAAAGCCTGTCCTGGTGCATTGTGTGGTTCGTCAGGTGAAGCGTCCCGTCAAAAGCTTTTCTCTTTTTTGTTTGTCTTTCTTATCGCTTTTGTCTGGAATGTCTCAGCGGCACCCTTAAACCTGCCTGTCGTCACGGAAACCGAACCGGACCGAGCTACGGGTCAGATCTGCGGAGAGGCGACGCCACTTACTGCAAAACTGTGTTTTTCTTGCGATTTTTTTTTTCCGGCTATAAAACCACCTGTAATTGAATAAATCTAAAAGTAGAGCTGTTTAATGTCACACTGCGGAACATTCCAGGCAGAGCAGTGTCATATCTGTAGAAACAAGCAAGTGACAGACCCTTAAATGAAAAGTTACACAGTGCACGGAAAGAATTTTACTTTGTTTTCCTCCAGCTTGGCGAGATTTCAGGTCTAAAGTTGTGTTTCCTGGTTGATAATAATGACGGGAATTTCGTAACCGTTTCCAAGCAAACATGTAGTAAACCGGGCCAAAACATCCCTAAAGTACACACAGATTATAAAAAGTAAAAGTACA